TCCGGCTGCCAGGGAAGGTTGGCCTCCGCCCCAGAGGCACGTGTCCTCATTTAACAGAGCAGCTCAATGATGGCACTTTGGGACCAAGGCCAGTGGGGTGAGAAACGCAGCCTCAGGCGGGTGCTCTGGGCCCCTGGGCTGGTGGCGGCAGCAGCGGGCTGGTTAGCCTCCCAAATCCCAGCCGGTGAGTGTTCACTTGGGCGCTGACCAGAGATCCCTCCTGGTGGCTCTCCCCGGCTTTTCCGTGTGTCAGTGAGAGTGCGTCTAACGAACGTCTCTGGACCAGGTGAGCTTCTCTGTGGCAGGCCGGTCCCAGGACAGGAAGCCACAACCCCAGCCGTAAGAGGGCAGGACCTATAAGGAAGCTGGGCTCCAAGGGGGCCCAGTTACAAGCTTTCACTCTCTGGAGGCCAGTGTTCTTCGCTCCCTGAGCCCCCTCTGCCAGGGGACACTCACGGTGGCCTGGAGAGTGGGCAGCACGCACGCCACCAAGCCCGAGCCAGAAACACTGTATCAGGCCACGGCCGCCATGCAGCCATGGGCTCTCTCGGGGCCCTGAGGAATGGCCTGGCTGGGTGCCGGCACCAGCCCACAGCACAGAGTCTGGAGCCCTCGAAGACCCTCTAATCCTCCCCTCATCGTACTAACCTGTGCTTTTAATTGATTGTAAAATACTTAAAACATACATGAATCCAGAAAGATTGGACAATCGGGCTCAACTTCCAGCTTAAGAAATGCCCCTGTGGTTGATGCCTCCACGCGGCCCTTCCTTGATCTCATCCTCCCTCCTTTTGTTGAGAATCTCCTCCTGTTTTAGGGCAAGGGAGGGGCTCCCTCAGGGGGACGGAGGATGGTGTTCGGTTCCGTTCTTCACATAACTGGGACCACATTGTGTATACCCTTCAGAAACTTGAGTTCTTCGCTCAAAACTATGACTGTGCGCTGTGTCCACACTGACATACCTAGCTCTCGTTCAGAGGTCGGCAAACCTCTTTCGGTGTGGCTTCATTGTCTAGGACATGAAAAAAAAACTGTGTAAGATTGGAATTACCTTTCCTTGACTGCTTTGTAGAACTTACCTAGAACAGCCTTGATCACGTAACCTAGACCCAGTTTTTGCGGTTTTCTTTAAAAATTATAGGAATATTGAATTAAGTCCATTTTAATGTTCTATAATTTCAAGAAGAGATTCATTTGCTCTAGGTTTTACTTTAGTTATGTAAAAGGTATTTATGTTATTTAAATTTATTGTTATAAAGATCTCTAAAGTAGAAAGCAAGACACATACATTTGTCACACATGGAACTGAAAAAGAACAAATATGGAAAATATATTTTTAAAACTCAAAAAAATAAAATAAAGAAAAGAACCCAGTTTTTTAAACGAAGGAAAGCTTTGACTCAGTACTTCACAAATGGGAATATCCAAATTGTCAGTCAACATTATAAAATGGTGCACAACCTCAACAGTCATTGGGGAAGGATAAATTTAAATCATAGAGATATCTCCACCTGCCCAAAGAAAGGCTAAATTTTAAAAGAATAACGCTACCAAGTGCTGGTGAGGATTGGGGCAACTGAAACGCTCATACACTGGTAGAAGTATGATCACTTCCAGAACCTGGTGTATCTAACATGCGCACACTCAGTGACCGAGCACGTGTACTCTGTTACGTTCCCAACAAAAAGGCATATAAAGGTGAACAGAAACACATGTCTAAACATGCATAGCCCCATTATTCATAATAAGCAAAACTGGGACCAACCTACAGGAGCCACGAAAGTACTGTGGCTAAATACATTGTAATTTCCATTCAGTGGAATATTCAGGATTGAGGACGAAGAAATCACTGCAGCGTGGAACAACGTGAATGAATCTCACCTACGTGCTATTAAGTAACAGAAGCGTTAAAAGGTAAACTGAGGCATGTTAAATTTTTTTTTCCCCAAGACTTGCACTGACTGGTGTGGCTCAGTTGGTTAGGCGACGCCCTACAAACAAAAGGTCACCAGTTTGATACCTGGTGAGGGCACATGCCTGGGTTACGGGTTCGGTCCCAGGTTGGGGCGTGTGTGAGAGGCAACCGATCAACGTTTCTCTCTCACAATGATGTTTCTCTCCCTCTCTTTCTCCCTCCCTCGCCCTCTCTCTAAAAATAAATAAATAAGATCTATAAAAAAATGTTTTTCAAGAGTTTGTTTGAGCATTCATTCATTTGAGTCAGCCAGCACCAAACCAAAAGCAGCGAGGTGTGCTCCAAAAGACAGGAGCTGGGGGAGAGGTTTTCATAGAGAAGACACAGACGCTGAGCAAGGAAATCATTTAATTGGCTCTAGTGCAGCCGCTGCCTTATTTAGGAAAGCCCGGTTGGCTGCTCCTGATTGGTTGTTCCTAAGCTTCCTATTCTCGGATCCCAGTGCATGAACTCTGGCTTAGCTTTGTTTGCTCCACTAGATTGCCAGGGCATTGCAGCCACCTCAGCCTGATAACCTTTGTTTAATTACTGTAACAGCAGCAGGACTCAAAAAATACATACAGTTTGATTTTATTTCTGAGACATTTTTTAAAGGCAAAAGTAAAACGTCAGTTAGCGTTGCACACACAGGTGGTAACTGTAACAGCAGAATAAGGAGAGTGGCTCCTTCTAGGGAAGGAAAGAGCTTTGATGGGACAGGACACTTCAGGGGCTTCTAGAATAATGGCAATATTTAATTTTTTTTAACATGGTGATATTTCTACAAGTATTTTCTTTATTATTATCCTGTCTGTATGTTGCATAAAACATTTTTGGGGGAAAAAAAAAGTCACATATTAAAAGCCAGCAAAGACAGATACGAAAGGGATAAAAATATATACAGTTAAAAACAAGTCAACAGGCCCAAAATGGAGCCTTTTATACTAAGCCCACAGCACCGAACTGAGACTTAATTACTGACGTGACATGGCACATTTGCTTGTTTATTGGACTTTATCTCTCCTTTCGGAATAAAACATGCACTCTGTGAGGGTAGCTCTTTGTTTTATTCACTGCTGGATCCCTAGTGCCTAGAAACTGACACTAATTTTTTTTTTTGAATGAACGAAAGAGCTTAATGGTGTCTGTGGAAGTCTCTTCCCCTATCACATTGGGAGCAAATGATGGACCCTCCTAGTGGTGTCGGCTGGCACCTTGTGACATCTTGCAGGTTATCGATTGCGGGATGGACACGGAGGTGGCAGGCCCTCTGCTGTCTGGGAGAGACTCAAGGGCCCTGCAGGAAAGGTGATCCAGAGGGACCACCTGAAGGGGCCAGGCCACCCTCGGCACAGGACATGGAAAGCACTGGGAATGGAGTGGACTTGCTCTCCTGGAATGTATCCACCCGTCCCCAGATTCCAGGCAGCTTGGCCCGAGAAGGCTGCAGCATCCCTTACGGAGAAAATAGGTACATTAGATAAGCTGCAGTCAATGTGAATCAATCAACAATGTATACTACATGTCTTTGAACAGAAACAGAAGGTTATATTTTGGTCAGTTCATAAAAATGCTGTTACCAGGGGCCAGCAGGGACCTAACTCTATTTCCTCCAGAAGCAACGAACCATTGCCTTCCCGGGCTTAGGGAAACGAGGCAGCACCTCAGCCCTGTTTCGGGGGCCACTTCAAACAACGGAATCACCAACAAAAAGCACAAAATTCAAAACCATGGCACAAACAGACCAGGAAACAGACTGTTGTGTACAGTGTGAGAGGTGAAACAAGAAGGCAGACGCTGTCTTGTTCCGTCTCAGTGGGGACATGTGTGTCAGGCGACTCCGACTGTCAGCCTCCCTGGGCATGTCCCAGGCTTTCAGAAACGGCCTCCTGAAGGTGACGGCGGGGCCCAGCGGAGCCCTGACCCTGTTCCAAGGAGAGCGGCCCCTGGGTTAGATCGTGAGCGCGGAGGGACGTGCCCCAGCCCATCCCTTCTACCAGCCCCAGCCCGGCAAAGCTCACCCCCCCGCAAACCGGTATCCACCCCTGTGCCCTAAACCAGAGCCCTGCCGGTCCTCGACACGCCTCCCCTCTCTGCTGCTCCCCTGCATGTTCTAGCACGGGTGGCCTGGGAGGGGTCAAAAGCCATGCCGAGCAGCACTAGACAGGCCGGGCCACAGTGTGGGGAGCAGCCGGGGCAGCACCAGGGCCCGGGAGGCCAGGACGCAGGCCGTTGTGTGGCCCAAGCGCAGAGGGGCTGCCAGGCCGATGGCCCGGAGAGCGTGGGTCTTTCCCCAGGAAGGAGTCATCACGCGGGCCAGGGCCGGGCGGTCTGAGGCTGGGGCCGTGGGATGTGGCACCCGGGGTCCTGTCCACCCTCCCTGGGCTGTGTGTCTGCTGCTCCTCTCTTCCTCCTCCTTGAACTTTTCCTTGACAGGGTGGGGGATGGTGGAGCACTTTGGGGTGAAGCCAGTGGCCTCTCAGCCAGGCAGGGACCTTGTAGCCACATCTGGGCACAGGGACTGCACCAGCTTCTGTCTCTAATGGGTAGAAGATGGGGCTTGGGAGTCGCCCTGGGCAGCTCAGAGTCTGCAAAATACCATCCCTCAGAGACTGGGCATGAGAGGGGATGTAAGGAGCTGAGAGCAGGGTGCAGGGCTCAGGGGAGGGCCCCGTGGCCGCCCTGCTTTGCACGTCTCCCCCGCCTCAGGGTCACAGCAGCCCAGTGGGTAAGGGTTTCAGATGTGAGAACTGGAAGGAGCAGCGCGGGCTGCCTCCGTCCGCCTCCGCCGCGCCCAGGGCTTCGGGGGTGGAAACCGGCTCCCAGGCTGAGGGGAGGTAACAGCAGAGCCGGGCTGAGATCCGTCCTCCTGACCTGGGGTCTGGAGTGCTCCTGGGGTGATATGTTGATGACTAGAACCATGCATTCCATGTCTTCCCTGTGGAACCCCGTGCTGTTCTCTGACCGTGGAGCCAGACTCAACTGACCTTTGTCCGTGGGACAAAGACTTGGTCCACAGCCCCGTCCAGGTACATAAAGGGGAGCGGGTGTGAGCCCGGGCTCTCTAAAGTGGGAACCCTCCAGGGCTGCTAGACATCTGCCAGAGCCCAGAGACCCTGACGCCCCCAGCCTACCATGCCGGCAGCCACGGGTCTGAACATGAAGGCGTGGCAGAACGTGTTTCAGGAGTTAATTCAGGAGGTGAAGCCGTGGCACCCATGGACCCTGACACTAGACAGTAGCTGCGTTCCCAACATCCCGCAGCCGGGGTGGTCGCAGTACCAGCAGTGGGCCTTTGCCAGGTGAGCGGGGGAGGGGATGGTACATATTCCAGAAAATTCTCCCTCATTTCTTACTGTGTATGCCGCTTACTTTTCTTATTCCATTCATGCTTGCTGGCAAACGGAAGATTCCAGGAAGAAAGGGGCCCATCGCCCAAGAAGCTTTAGCTTCATTGAAGATTGTTTTCTTATTACACGAACCCCTGCAATAATCCAGGATCGGGCACTGGCGTGGGCAAAGGCCTGAGATACAGAGAAATGGGGCTGTGAGAGGCGAGGGCCAAGAGCCATGAGGTCCAGGGGAGCCGGGGGAGCGGGGCGTGGAGCACAGGCTCCCTGCCTCTGGGACCTGGGGTCCACCGCAGAGCCCACGAGAGAAGGGCCCCGTGTGCCGAGGAGACCCACTGGGGGAGGAGGCGGTGGGCGCGGGGGCCGAGCCACACGCAGCCCTCCTGCTCCTCTCTACTCTGAGCTAATGGAACCGTCAGAAAAACAGGGCCCTCGGAAGACCATCCAAAGTCTCGCCCTCTCTTTCCCAGGTGCGAGGTCAGAACCCGCGGGATGGGGGTTGCCCACCTGCATGGAGGAAGGGGCTCCGGGGCTGGTTGCCTGCCCACTGCCCCCTCCTGGAAGAGGGTCTGAAAAGAGGAAACAGAGCTCTCTGCTGTTTTCCCAGGCCAGCCGCTGGCGTCAGAAGCAGCTGAGCAAAGTCTCCACTCTTTTTCTGTTTGTTCCATTTTGTTTTTTGAGGACTTTGAACTCTGGGCTGACAGCCCCGCGGAGCAGCAGGGCCCAGAGGGGGCGGGGGCTGCAGCTCCCCTGGCCCCAGGAAGGTCCTCTGGCCCGCGGGGGTCAGAGCTGCCGGGCATCTTCGCTCCATTTCATCCTCACGCTCACCCCATGAGGTGAGACTAGAATCAAGATACAGAAGGGAACCCCAGTCAGTGTGGCTCAGTGGGACAGACATGATCCCAAAAACCAAAAGGTCACTCGTTCGATTCCCTATCAAAGCACACGCCTGAGTTTCGGGCCAGGTCCCTGGTTGGGGGTGTGCCAGAGGCAACTGGTCGCTGTTTCTCTTGCACACTGATGTTTCCTTCCCTTTCTCCCACCCTTCCCCACTTTAAAAATAAATACATAGTCTTTTAAAAAAATACAGAAGGGAAGCCTTGACTGACTCCTACCCAGCCCCCTTTGATTGACCATCCCAGGCTCCAGGGGCTCCTGCCTCAAGGCAGGCCAAGGCTGGGCGTGGCTGCTGCGACAAACAAGCCCTGAAATATCAGTGATGTAACGTAACACGTGGCCCCAAGTCCACCGAGGCGCAGGAGGAGAGAGCTAGGGGGTCCTTCAAGGGCGTCAGTGCCAGGTCAGGGGGCATCGTCTACCACTTCAGCCACATCCCATCAGCCACCTGCTCACATCACCCCAGCCTCACTGCGGGGGAGGGGTGGCTGGGGAACGGGAGGGAGGGCGAGGATAACTTGGTGAGCACTATAGTCCCCGCCATGGAGCAGCCCTCTCCTTTCCCATAATTCCTTTCCTGGTGCTGCCATGTGCTTCCCTGCCCTCTTCCCTCCCTCCCTCTGTTCTGACAGGTATTTGTCCAGCTGCCTTAGCTCAGAAAAATGCCTTCCTCCTTGCTGGGATAAAGGGCCGTTCTTTTGTACCCTGTTCGAGACCAAGGCATGAAGAGTATGAAGTGTTTCGGGCCACTTGGAGCGATGAATTGGGTTGGAGGGAGGCAAAAAAAGAGAGCTGGACGTGGTGCAGATTCGGCGACCCTGGGCGACTGAGAGCAAAGCAGTACTTTTCCCTAGGACCCTGGAGCTTTTAGGGTGCCTCCCTGCCCTGGAGTTCCACGCCTCAACGTCTTCGTCTTAGGGAGCAGCTATAAAAATGTAAAAATACATACATACATACATACATACATACATACATAAATACATAAATATTTAAAAACAGAGACCCAGCAGCTTATAAACAACAGAAAATTTTTGCTCGGAGTCCTGGAGGCTGGAAGTCCAACATCAGGGTGCCAGCCGGGCAGGCAAGGGCCCGCTTGTGAGTCGCAGGCTTCTGGTTTATCCTCACACGGCAGAAGGATCCAGGGAGCTCTGTGAGGTCTCTTTTGTAAGGGCACTCATGCCATTCATGAGTGGCACAGTGGAGATAAGAACAAGGGACTCGGTAATTTCTTCCCCCACTGACCCATGACCCCTGCCCAGCCGTGGCTCTGTGATGGCGGTGCCCCCTTCTTTCCTCTGGCACAGCCCACCATTTGGCCAGGTTGAGCCAAGCTGAGGGTCTTGTTTTCTGTCTCCACAGGTTCAAGTGCTCCTCATGCTCTCACAGCTGGGCCTCCGCCCAAGTTCAGGTCCTTTTCCACATGCACTGGAATAAGATAGAATCCAAGGGCCAGGTGAAGATGAGGGTCTTCACTCAGAGATGTAAGAAGTGCTCTCGGCCTACATTTGAGGTGCCTGAGTTCACGGAAGAGAACGTGTCAAGAATCCTGAACAACCTGGTGCTCCGAATTCTCAAGAACTGCTATCGAGAAGGATTTAAGTCCATGGAGGAGATCCCTACCATCAAGGACAGCTCTCTCGAAGGGCCCCATGACGTGAACAACTGCGAGGCGTGTCTGCAGGGCTTTTGCGTTCAGAGTAGGTTAGATCCAGCCAAACCGCCCCCCATGTCCCCATCACTTCCCACAATAAGCTCACCTAACGCCAGGGTACCCCTCTATAAGCTGCCTCCTCCTCCAAGGAGTAACACCACAGGGGACACAGCGACAGGGAACACCAGGGTGAAGAAAGGAAAGGTACTTCCCACCCCATGGGTTCCTGAGCCCCCACTGGCTAGGAATCCCAGAGTAAACACCAGCTACCAGGTGGAGAGGGTCATCCACGACTACTCACCTGAGAATTCGTATTCCCCCCTGGTCCAGGATCGCAGGCCCTGCTGCTCAAATGTTTGTTGCTATAATTCAAGCATTTGTTGCTGTTTAGTCATTCTAATCATAATTGCGGTCGTGTGGTTGTCGTTATTTTCTAAAACCACTCTGTGAATTTCAAAAGTATTGTGCTAAGTTTAAAAAGTCAGACCCACAAAGTCATATATTGTATGATCCCATTAATGTGAAATATTTAGAATAGGTAAATCCAGAAACAGGGAGTAGATTGGTGGCGACCAGCAGCTGGAGCAGAGGGGAAGTAGAAGCAACTACTTAATCTGCCCAGGTTGTTTTTGTCGGGGGTAATGACAAAAACGTTCGGGAATGAGAGAGAGAGGGTGGTCGCACAACTTGTGGATGCACTAAATGCTAATGAATTGTCCACTCTAAAGTGATTACTTTAATGCAAATTTTAAGGGTTAATGTGAACTTCACCTTATTTTTTTTAAAAAAGTGCTGAAATTTCATTCATTCTCTGGAGAACTGAGGGTCTATGGCTCACAACACCATTTGGAAATCTCAGGAAACCCCGGAGCCTTCTCACCAGGAAATTTCACCAGACCCTAGGACACCAGTGTGCGGAGGCACTTACTGGCTGAAGCGCTGGGCTGGAACTGCCAAGGCAGTTCCCGCCATAGCAGGGTGCTCGGCGCTGAGGGGTGAGGCAGGACCAGCTGTGCGGGGGTGGAAGAAGCCTTAAAATGCCATTTAATTCTTCCTTCCACTTTGGTATTTCTTGCTGCATGTTTTATAACATATGTTAATACATTTGCAGAATGATATAGTGATACACTGTATAAAGAAATAAAGCTACATGCATTTGAAGTGTATGCTCAGTTTTTCATTGACGGGGTTGCGTGATTAAATACATTGGGGGACCCCTGTTCTGCAGGACCAAGTGCGGACCACCTCTGTGCAGGGGGTCCCACCCGATTTCTGAAGCCAAGTAGCTTTTCAAAAAGGCTTCTGTTCCGATTCCTGAGGATAATTTTAGGGCTCATTCTCACATCATTTTTACCGGGAAATATGCCTCCTTCAGTTTATGTGACTAAAATTAAAGTGATAGTTGTTTACCACAAATTCTTCTTTTCCCTCCCGCCCACCCCCACTCCATCACCTGCCCCTCCCCATCAACTCTGGTCACCCCCACAAGCACAGGGCGGCCACCCCCCGCCCCGCCCTGGCCGCCCCTCTGCAACCATCTCTAGCGCTTGCCATTTTTCAGAGCTGAAAGTCTATATCCATTCAACAACTCACCTGTTCTCCCTCCCCCTGGCCCTGCTGACTGCCCTCATTCTTTCTGTCTCAATACCTTTGACTACTTTAGACACTTCATATACTTGAATTACATGGTATTTGTCTTCCTGTGTCTGGCTTACTTCACTGAGCATAATGTCCTCAAGGTTCATCTATGTTGTCGCATGTGTCCGAATGTCCTTCCTTTTTTAAGGCTGTCGTGTGTATAGACCACATTTTGCTTATTCACTCACCCATCAGTAACTAACTCGGGTAGCCCCACCACTGGGCTTGTGAGCAGTGCTGCTGTGAACACCTGTATAATTATCTCTTTGAGACCCTGCTTTCAATTCTTTTCAATGTACAGGGTGGGGCAAAAATAGGTTTACAGTTGTTTGTATGGGAAATAATACAATAATTAATAAATAATCATATAAGGATAAACTCCATGCTTCACATACTCACAACTGAAAACTTACTTTTGCCCAACCCTGCATACTCAGAAGTGACATTGCTGAATCCCACGGTATTTGCATATTTAATTTTGGGGGATACCACCAGTTTCCCATAACAGAGGCACCCTTTTACAGTCCCTCCGACAGTGCACAAGGGTTCCAATTCTCCACGTCCTTGCCAACAGTTTCTGTTTAAAAAAAAAAAATATATATATATATATATATACACATATATATATATAATAGCTCTATCAATGGGTGTGAGGTGATTATCTCAATGTCTTCAATTTGCATTTCTAGAAAATGTGATTTTTATGATGCAAGCTTACCCTTCAAAGAAAGTATCGGACATAATATGCGTACATCTCAGCACAGAGATAATTACTGGGAACACTAGAGCAATGTGTGGATAACTTCTTCAGACTTGCTACTCATTTTCAAACACTTGAGTACAGTCCACACATCCGTACTAGGCAAACTCCAGGGACTTAACACATAATAGTGGGACTGAAGAGATACAAGCATGTGTCGGCGGAACAAGCACGTAAGGAACCAAGTAGGGCCCAGCAGCCCGCAAACAGGCGGACACGCAGTGACCAGTGAGGCACGGAGAACGTGCTGGGTCATTAACACATGCCTCGTGCAGAATTTTCAGATCTCTGTATTTTCATTAAGATGCATATTCTACTTTAGAATCTTTCTGTATTTTTTATTAACATGAATAAACTAAATAGTATCTCTACAAGCATTGTATTCAATAATATATTTGTGTGGGGTATTACATAACATGAAAGAGTATCAATGCAGTACTTTTTATTTACTTATATGAACACCAAGACAAGATTTTTGCACAAAAGTCTGGTTTTATTGAAATAAAATTTACGTAAGTTCTAGACAGTCAATTGGTATGAAAGCGCCCATTTTCCCCCTTTTCAGATATAGTTTCCATTTGACCACAGATAGCATAACCTTGCCATGAAATAAAATGCCAAAATCATTCAAGTAGTATATAACTAATTTGAATTACATTGTTAAAGAGTTGAACAGAAAAATACAATCGTTTGAGGTTCCATTACAGTGATTTCTCATTTTGCTATCCTTCTCACCTCTTAATCTACTTCTCAGAGTTTGTCTTTAAGTTGAAGCAATCCTCAACGGTGGGTTTAGAAATGCTCTGCCTGTTTTACATATGTTGAGGGTAAAATATTTGGAATTATGATTAGGCCCCTGAAGACAAGATCTGGGGTATCAGGAGTAGCCCTTTTGAAATGCACACCTCTGGGGACAGACTGATTCTTCAGACAAGAGAAAATAAAAGTCACCGCTCATTTTTAGCCCAGGTTAACTTCCAAAGAACCCACCTGGCTGGACCCATGCAGTCCAACAGGGCAGCCACCTCTGGCTATTTAAATTTACATTACATTAAACACTTAGTTCTTCATTCGCACCAGTCACTGTTCAAGTGCTCAAGGAGCACATGTGTCTGGTGGTCCTGCCACGGGACACACGGACACAGGAGTTGCCGTCCCCGCGGCAAGTTCTGTTGGGCAGCACTGGGCGGGACCACAGGGGAGCCGATTCATATACAAGCTACTTGTTTAAGCTTATCTTCAACACGCAATCCTTGGGTTCATCTGCGCCCAAGACAGTGGTACAAAAGTGGATATTTGTCCAGCCTCTCCAAACCACATGATGCGAAGTGAGAGTCCAAAGTCCCGTCATGAACCCCATCTCTGACCATGTAAAATGGTCTCATGAGCGCGCTCAGGGTCGTGGCATCCTGGCCGTGGGCAGACTCTCCTGCGGTACCCTCAAGGGAGGCCCGCCAGGGCCTCCTCACCAACGTGGATTAGTCATCCTGCTCCGCTGCCACCTTAGTAGGGGGTCCCTGAGGGCATGACCTCTGTCCCCTGCTCTCAGGTGGGTCCCAGGACTCTGAGGTGCCCATTCAGGGCACGATGACCACCCACACAGGCCATGCAAGGCTTCCCATGCCCAGCCAGACCCTCTTCCCCAACCAGCGCTGCCAGAACACCTCCCCCCCACCCGCTGGACCACCCTTCCTGAGGGCCCAGCAGCCCCTCGCTGACTCGCCCTGGCCCCCCCGACACACACATACCCACTCCGACCAGGAGGCTAGACAGGGGACTGCGGGCAGCCTGCACATCCACCCCCAAGCTGCCCACTTCCGCGGCCCCTCCCCCTCCTTCCCCCTCAAGAAGTGTTTGTAGAGCAAAAAACAATAACGAAACCAAAAAACCCACCCTTCTTTGTATCTTCAAGGTCCAGATTATAACCAAAGTCTCTCCTGAGAGCCCACACTTGCAAGATTTAATTTAAAACACATGGAGATAGAGGTTTGTATATACTTAGGACAATTTTCTCAGTAAAAGGAATAATGCATTACGACTCCTTAAAAAAAAAAAAAAGCCAAAATAAACTCTCACCTGACTAATCCAATATAAACGCTCTTTTCACAACCCCTTTATCCCTTGATTCCTGAAAACAATGCAATCAACTTCAGAATTTGGTCTAAGTTATCATTTTAAAAAAGAGTACATTTTCTAAAACATTAAATGTGCATTACTTGGAAGCAAATGTATGCAAATGAACCTTTAACTATCAACATATAAACCCATTTATCAATTCCCCAGTCCACAGAGAGAGGTATTCATGTATTTGAAATCTGAAAATCACTTTTCCAAACAGTTATGACCATGGTTTCTGGACTCCATGCTTCAGCACAAGGCGTTACATCTCTGTGACCGGACCCGCAACACAAAGATTCACAACTCCACAAACGGGGAGATTCCGTCACCTTCTGACGGACGGTCTCAAAGCTGAAGGCTGAAGGATACTTTGGTGGTATAGCTGGGAACCGACTCTGTAGCAAAAGGAAAACATATACTCAACCATTCTCCTTTCATTGTGGAGCATAACTACATGATGAGAAGAACGAAGATGAATTCATGCCTTTTTCCTGTTTACACGTTCTTGTGACAAAAGGAAGAGCACTTTGGAAACAGTCACCAGGAAAAATACTTCCCACCCTTTCCGGTGACCGCCTTGCCCCTCTGCAGTATCACCACCCTGTTGGAAACCAAAACTAAATGGGTTGATTGCCTAACCTGCCATTTTGTTTTTGCTTCTGTGATTTTGATATAGGTGTACCTTGATTTATGAGAGATGACTTTGTCTAATGTTGAGCTTCATTGGATTTTGAAATGGAATCTTACCGTCCCATTAACTAGGAGACTCTTTTGTCTGTCATTTAATTAAAAACTTATGTATAATTAGTAATGCGACCCTCATGTTGTAAGTGTATGTTTCTCTGTCAAATAGTTGACGGTGTACCAAGCATTCAAGTGCATTAGGCAAATCAAACATTTTAAGGAAATGTATCTCCTTTTTTTTTTTTTTGGTAAACGGAAAAATAATTTACAACGTAAACTGTCCCACACCAATTAACATTTTGTCGATTTGACTTATATCAGTAAATGTGTCGCATGAGTTAATGGAATTCTGTATATTCCTTTTAAATGTTTTAAATATCAGTAACCTACCTCTTTCTTTAAGATCTTCAATATAGGCTTTCATAAATTCTTTATCAAAGTGTTGACGATCTTGTTCACTTTCCATAATTTCATCACCATCTTGACACTGGGTTTTATCAATAGGATTGTCCATCAGGTTTACAAATCTAGTCAGGAAAATACGGACAATATCACATTTTCCCCTGTGCATTTTTAACTGCAAAATTCCTCCCATCGGAAGTCAACCTTTGCGGTCCTAAATCCCAAGTTCTTACTTATTCTTGAAAGTCACATAAAGTTGGCCTGGCCAGTGGAGTCCCACTGAGGGACACACAGCCCGTCGGGATTATGGAATCAGTCCCAAAGCAGACACTGTTCCGAGGCCTGATGGGGAACATGGGAGCCGCTCGGCCACAGACAGGGCGGCGGGCCGGAGGCCGAGGCGGACAATAACGCTTCCTCTCAGTCAGGCCCTTAAAACGGCATGACGTCTTACTATGCTTGCTATTACTCCCAATAGTGACATCAGCGCTTAAATGAGGTAGCTTAGTTAAAAAGAACTCAGATAACATCCCCACAGAAAGAAGAGGGGGAGGGCAAGGGGGAGGGCAAGGGGGAGGGCAAGAAGGAAGAGAAAAAGAGAGGAGGTAAAGGAAAGCTAAAGGAAAGAAATTAAAATGGCATTTGGTCTTCTATCTTCACAATTTTAAAAGATGTTTTGAGGTGAAGATGATATAATAAATTCAATTCAAAAGAGGAAATTCCTCAAATAGTCTTTGGTTGCAGTTGTAGTCCCTGTTGTCTTGGGTATTAGCCTCATTCTAACTGGTTTTAGAAGAGTTTATATCCATATATTTATATATTTTTATATATGACATATCCACACATATCAATCATCTTTTAGCATATCTATTTTCCTGTTCTTTTTCTTTTCAATTTTATTTAATGTCTAAATATGGAGAAAGCAAAAGATTTTAATTCTTATGTACATAGATCCATTCAACTTGCCCTTTGTCATCTTTCATTGAATTGGTATTGTCCTTCCCTACCCCCCAAAACAGAAATCGGCCTATATTTCATCATTCTTCAAATTTATCAAAGTAATTACTGTATACTTACATGTTTTTTAATTTGAATAGTGCCGTGGCACATTTTATTTAAAGCAGCCGCCCCTCGTCCCGCCCCTGTGACTCTCAGGCCCAGAGGCGGCCTCTTTCACTATTTTAACTTAATCAACACGCAGTATCTTTTACCGCAGGACCAATACTTCAGTATCTTTGAGTCAAGTAGAGGTGCTGCTTCCCTTCTCTTCAGTCCCCAGCCCTCCCAGTTTTTGTGATCTATACCTTTACTTTTTCAAAATCTTCTTATGAACATTTTTGAACATTCAGAAAGGTTGAAAATTCTGTCACATTACTCCTGTTTTTCAAAATTATCACTGCTGGTTTTAGCTTTTTTACCTTTCACATAAACTTTCAAATTTGTTTCTTAAATTCCAAAAAAGAAAATCCCACTAAAGTGATGATAAGAATCCTATTCTACTTAAGTATAATTTTGGGAAGAAATACATCTTTAGAGTCTTTTTATCCGGAAAGACAGCATGTCTTTCTAAATATTCAACACCTCTTTGATATTCTTTCGGAACACTTCTTAGTTCCCCTTCATATAAGAGAACTTTTTTCTCCTGGGGTTTTGCCTGGATATGTTGTATTTTGCGATTATTACTGTTAATGCCTTCACTCTTCCACTCTCTTTCTACAGGTTGTTTCTAAGATATCAGGAAGCTAATGACTTTTTAAAAAGACTTATATCTAGTCCTTTTATTGAACTGTCTATTAATTCAAAGAGCTTTCATCTGGTGCTCCTAGCTCTCCAAGCCCTGCGGTCACAGCGTTTGAATTGACTTCAGTCACCGGCAACCAGGTCACAGTTTTATCCCGACCAAATGTTCTGTTCCACCTTGACGGAGGCAAACTCCGCCTGCTGCCAGTTGCCCCCTGCAAGTGGAAGGGGTTCTGGGGGTGGCTCCTGCTAGCCCTCCCTCCAGTGGGCCCGTCTTACCCAGGCGGCATTCCTAAGCCAGCCAGGGACAGCCCACCCCGGCGGAAGGAGTTGGGTGGGGCGGGTGGGGAAGATGTCTTATGCCCCGTCACACTTGTGCTTATGCAGGAACAAGTTTAGTCTTTCTCTTTGCAATAGGTCACCTCTGTACTGCTGTTTGCTATGCATCTCACTGCAGGACCAGAGGTAAGAAAGAGCCATGCTGACATGGGCATTTGCCACTGAGAGAACTGGGCGTCCCGGGAAACACCTCCTTGGGTGGACGTTGGAACAGGCAGATGGGTCTCCGGACACAGTGGGGAAGTGACCCTCACTAGAGTGGCCCCGTGGGAAGGTTCCTGGGGAGGCTTCAAGCTACTGGGGATGGGCCATAATGGTCTCAGGGTAGAGGTGAAGGGGGATCCCCAAAGCTCCAAATCCTGGCAGGGTCACTAGCAGGGAGCCCAGGGATATGTCATGGAGCCAGCTTCCAGGGAGCGACAGACACAGGAGCCCCGGGCCCCTGCCCCGCTGCGCCTTCAGCCAGCACGTAGCATTGTCCAGAAATCCTCTGAGCTCTACCTCCCCGTGTTCCGTCCAAAAGCTTCAAAATCCCACACAAAGGCATCAGAACTCCCGTGAACTGGGATCTGAGTCCCAGAGTACGAGGACCGTCTGATCTGCTTCCTGAGGCCAGTGCCCAGGCTCCAGCACCCCCCGCCCACGTCCCTCCCCCCAAGCTCCTTTCCTTGGGTCTGAACACGTCTCCACCAGGACCTCTGGTCTACTCACTTTAAAGGGGTGGATGAGTCACAGAGGGCGGTCGGGAGCTCCACCAAATCGTCCCCGCTGACGACTAACAAGGTGAGTTTCTTCAGGTTAAGCAGGGCGTAGGGGAGGTAGGTCAGCCTGTTCTTATACAGGAGGAACGTCTGCAGCTCTTCTAGCCTAAGAAGGCGGGAAAGGGGCCCAAAAACAGGACTCAGCCTCACAGCAAAGAAAACCAGAATGAGTTACAAATAAATCCTAGCAGGAAATTCCAACTTAAGTTTATTTTTTGTATGCGACCCTTATAAGCAAGAACTAACTTCAAAAATTAAATAAATAAAGTCATGCCAGGTGACACAATTTGTTCTTTGTTTTGTGTTTTTTATTTTTTTACCCATCTAACTGCCAACTGAAGACAGGAATAGCGGCAGCATAGGGAAATTGCACGTATGCAGTAGACCTTCAGGGGGCCTAAAAGTCAATATATCTTTCCAATGTGAACATCTATCCTCTGTGCTGGACACCTGAAACTAATACAAAATAGCATTGAGTGCAAACTGTAATTGAAAAACTTTTTTAAAAATATCAGTATTTCCCACCCTGGCCTGTGTGGCGCAATTGGTTGGGCGTCGTCCCACAAACTGCTGGTTTGATTCCGGGTCAGGGCACATGCCTGTGTCACGGGTTCGGTCCCCAGTTGGGGTGCATACAGAAGGCAGCCAATCGATCTCTTTTTTTCTCTCTCACATCAATGTTTCTTGCCTTCTTTTTCTCCCTCCCTTCCCCTATCTCTAAAATCAAAAATAAAAATAAAGTTTAAAAAAAAACAATATATCCCTCCAAGTGCCTGCCTCATTCGTTCCAAGGGTGAGCAGGGCATGGGAAAGAAGTCATACTAGAGTTGCAATGAAAATAAACAAATTTCAGCCAGTGTTTCTTTCTGCATATCTTGAAAGTCCAGTTATTCCTCTCTCATCCTATTTTCTAACTTTAAAATAGGAAGAAACCTGCAGAGATAAAAGGAAATGAGGCAACTGTGCACCAAAGGAGTTTTATTTTTACTCTGTTCAACTCAGTGACCCTCTCTCTGGGTTTTTTTTTCATTCATTTGCAAAATCTTGACCGACCCCCTACATATTTCACAAAATTCCCCTTGCGCTTCAAACTAAAACAATTCCCCTTGAGTCTCACAAACCGAGAAAGCGTGGATACACATCAGATGTACCAGGAATAGGAAACAGAAATAGGGAATGGCCTGCAGGACTGGGCCACTCGTGGATTCCGGGAGGCCGGAGGTCTGTTTCATTCGCTGCTTTAAACCCAGGCTGCTCTCCAGGCCTGCCATACGGGAGCCCAATAACATTGGCAGAATAAATGAACGAATGAATCTTACAGGATTCATTGTAATAATTTCTTTTAAACATGGAATAGCTATGAGGATATAATTGGAGAATCTTACTCAGCATACCAGTTTTGCTCGAAAGATTATGTATAGTAAGTCAACAAATGAAACTAATAAAAATTATCGTCACTGATATCCTAAACATAAAGTGATATGTTTCTATGCCATATGTAATAATTTTACTTTTCCACTTCTATGGAGTAAAGAACAGTTATGATGCCATTTTACTGGGGACCAAAAGAAATTAAAGTTCACCAAGGCAACAACGATTTGTTCAAATGCACATTTATAGGTGGGTAAAACTAGGTTTACAGTTGTTTATATGGAATATAATACAATAATTAATAAATGATAATACAAGAATAAACTTTGTTTTGTGTGCTCACAACTGTAAACCTACTTTTTCTCATCCCTATATATACAAGAGGTCTGTCCAGAAAGTACCCAGCCATGTACTATGGAAAATAGAGGCATTCATTGAAAAAGATACAAAAAACATGGTACACGGGACAATGATGCCTCAGTCCCCTTTAACGTAGACACTTGGGACCTCACACAGTTCTCCCTGTCACCATCAGCTGCCCCATCATATTTTCCTGAATCTAATCAATGGTCTGAAATCTCTTCCCTTTCAAAGGTGGTTTTAGTTTTGGGAAAAGCCAGAAGTCACAGGGTGCAAATCTGGACTGTAGCAGGGCTGAGTCACCTGGGTGATTGGATGTTTCACCAAAAAACTCTGCATGAGATGCGATGCATGAGCAGACACGCTGTCGTGATGAAGCTGCCAATCACCAGTTGCTCATAGCTGCAGCCTTCTGAATCATCCGAATAGTTTCCATGGAGGAATGTTTAAGCTTAATGCAAAAATGGATGCAGATTCATTGTTCTACTCACTCAGTCATTTTTAATGCGACAGCCACACTGTGCACATACTCACTTAATGGCATCTACCACCCTCACCGACTAGTACAGTGAAGTCGCCATTGTTGACACATGTGCATTCCAGTCCACTCTCCTTGGCTGCCATGCGCAAACTGTTCTGGTTATATTAACAATGGCTGGGCCTTTTTCGGACAGACCTCATCATATACAGGCACGTGTATCATGTAGACTAAAAATTGTCTTATTATACAACAAACCAAACTCATTTCCTGGAAACAATGAACTCTGGAAAATTCATTGATTTCGAAGAACATCCATGTGGTATACAAGTTTAAAATGTTAACAGTATTTAAGATGTTAGTAACTAATTCATATACCTCACCTTCAAAATGCAAGTAGCTACCTGTCTATATCTTGTGGCAGGTCATTCAGGTTATTGTTGCTGATATCCAACCACTGCAAATTAGACATCCTCAGGACGCAGATTGGGACACTGGAAAACTTGTTTGCTGAGATATCTACAAATGTCACTTGCTTCAAATTACTTAACTGGAAAGGAACAACAAAATATTTTAACTACTTTTGTAAGAGAGAGAATTAAGTTTGACAAATAATTTTGCACTTGCTGTCTCTTCCCAAAGGCATTTCCATGAATATATGCAAAAGAGATCAAAACAGCATGCATTCCGGACCACTGTGCAATGTGCCAGGGGCGCTAAGATGAACAGCTCATAGTGGCTGCCCTTGAAGGGTTGGTGATTTCATAAATAAACGATGCCATTCTATAGAGCGTATGGGCAAGACAGAATTCTTAGGAGGTGGTGGCAATATCCAAAAACTGAATTGGTGAAATGCACATTTATAATGGGTGAATTTTATGACATATAAATTATGTCTCATTAAAGGAGGGGAGCGTACAGGAAGGAAGAGAGAGACCAGGCTAGGAGGCTGCCGTCCCAGTCTAAATGACAGGCAACACCGGCTTGGACTAGGCTGCTGGTGGAAGGTGCTTGGCTGGCTTCCAGCCTGAACACCTGAGAGAAGGTCGTGCTGTTTTCTAAACTGGGGAGGACAGCGATTGACGGTGCACAGGGAATCATGACCCCTGGCGGGGTCCCCTCGCCTGGACCGCTGTGTTTTCCTGGAGCGAGATGGATGCTGATAGTAGAAGCAGCCACTTCCTCCCACACAGAACTTTTCAGGAAAGGAGACCAACAGCCCTTCTAGGACTTCCCCCAGTGGCCAGGGCCCTGTCAGGTCCTCACCGGCGGGAACACATTAAGCCTCTCCACTAGCAGCGGGACTGTGAGATCCTTACCGCACTCCGGCACAGGACGCTGGTGGAGCTTGATTTGGCAATAAAAACCGTTCACTTTAATCTGCTCCATTTCATCCAAAAAGTGATTTTAAATCATTTCTCCAATGAATGCAGACCAAAAGAAACTAATAATATTTTTAAATTAATGGCCTTCTTAAATCCATGCTCTAGGACTACTTTAGTTACCTACAAGCTTAGTTGAATGTACACATTTTTTTTAAATTTTACCCCATTTATTTATTTCCACCTGCTTCCAATTTTACATCACCAATGTAGATAGTAAATTGGGGTTTGCATTACAGCCAACAGGCATCATATCTTACACTGGCATTGAATAAAAATATCTTGCATGAAAACAGGACTTTTTGCCTAGTTTCCCATTGATGGCACTTCTGAATGTAAATTCAGGTCCTAGCCTAGTATAAAGACATTTTAAAGACCTTATAATAGCTGATAGAGAGTGACTGAAATGTCAGGAAAATGTGCCATATTAAAGATGGATTTCATCTTTTAAAGCTTCTTCCCCATATTATAGGCCATCCCATGTCAGAAACCAAACACAAGTGAGTAAATCACGGTGCAAATGTGTTTACTCTCTTACTTCAAAGGGGAGCTCAGTTAACTCTAGATTTCCAGAACAATCCAGTTTCTCCAGATTTTCACAATCTCCCAGTTCTGGAGGAATGCTCTTCAGATGGTTGAAACTCACATTGAGTTCTTTCAGGTTCTTCAAACAGCCTGTCACCAGGAAAAAAAAAAAAAAAGAACATCACAGGATAGGTCCTTTCAGGTCTTTTAAGAACAGAAACAAAACAAAAATGTAAAACCTTTGTATAAATGATGGGCAGGGATCAAACATAATTTTGATTTTGATTTTTAAGCACTTTTTATGAAATGCCTGCTCACATTTCCTCCTGAGCATTTTTTTCCTTTTCTCTTAGTCTTCACCTGCTTCGCCCTTCGTGAAGGTGCAGGCGAGGTGAGTGTGGGGGATTTGTCCTCCACGAACCCCGCGTCAGGCCCCAGCACCGCAGAGTGTAAACCCCTTTGAAATGACACGATGAGTAAAGTAACAGGCAATGGCTGCAGAGCGTGCCCCTGCTCCCGGGAAGCCCGGCGCCCAGCCTCGGCCTGTCGGTGCGCTCTCCTGAGTAGAGCTCGGTACCGAAACAGGCGCGAAGCTTTCTGTGTGCGGTCAATGATTCAGAGTAGACTGTAACCAGACTGCCCGGAATTCACTGCTCTCTGGCTTCATGTTTACATTGATTGAGTTATAATATGCCATGCTTCATAAAGAAAATGCTTTAAGAAAGAAAATCCCTTTCCCCGACAGGAAGTGAGCACACCGAGAATAACAAGCAGCAATGACTGATGGAGAAACGCACCTCCCAAGGCTGTCTTGATTGAATACCTGCATAACCAGCCCCAAACCAGAAGCCAGCATGGGAGCAAATGCAGTTAATATTCCAAAAAGCACGGCATGCCTGTTCTAAGGCACTGAGCACTGGAACATTCTTAGCGTAATTTTTAAAAGTGGGAAATCAAAATTATTGGAGCTCTGCACAGCCGCCCAACCTGCACCCCACACCCCGAGAGAGAAGCAGTTATGACCACTATGGTCTTCAACAACAAAGTGACTGACAAGAGTAAAATGTCAATCAAAATGACATAATAAGCTAAACCAAACTTATCAAGGACTAATTTATGGGAATGATATATTGTATTTTACATTTACAGTAAACATCTCATGGCAGGTTTATATTTCTACAACTGAAAGAAAATAAACAGTTCCTAAACACAGCATTGTTCACCTGTGAGACTTGTAGTTTTTGAGCATTTGGCAAATGTCTGTGCTGTCACACAGGTGAGAGTGTGGCATCGCCACCCAAAGGGGGTCACTGAGGACAAGCAGCTCTTGCAACACAGGCAATGGCTCTACCCACATCTTCCTGGGGCAGGAGGCGGGGGGTGCATTACCTATCTACCAGTTGCCTGCTCACCAGAGGCCTGTGGCTCTGCTAAGAGACATACCTATTTCAGCTGGAAGATGGGAGATGTGGTTTTTTGGCAGATCCAGGACTCTCATCTCTTGGAACAGCTTGATGTAGGTGGGAATGATTTGAATCAGGGTATTGTTTATGTGCCATTCTTTCAGGTGCGTCTGCTCCTTGAGTGAGTCTGGGAGTTCCTGGAACAGGGGAAGGACAGCGATTGGCCGAGCTGAGTGGCGTTGTGCACAAAGCCAAGCAACACCTGCACTTATTTTAAAAGCCAGAAGCCAGAGAACGTGCGTCAGTGTGTGAGAGCGTGTGACGTAACTGCCAGCTTTCTGGCCATTTCAAAAAGAAAGCGGAGATGCTGCAGCTATCATTAATCTTGCAACAAGAGATTAGCCCAACTTCAAAACTGCCATGAATTATTCCAATCAAATGCCTGGTCAACACAGAGAATCGAGTTCACATCCACAGTCTTATTTATTTACGATATGCCAATTCAACATATTCTAAAAATAAAATCTGTCCTTGCATTAGATTCTTAAATTCAGGCTGTGTCTCCCTTCCTCTGCAGTTGGCTTTTAAAATACTTGATAAACTACCTAATACTTGCTGGGCCAAATTTCTACATGTTTTTATGAGTCTTCGGGAGCAAAAAGGCACCAGAAAGTCATCCTGGCTTTTAATTTACAAAACTATTTTCACCCTAAATATGACTTCACATTAGTCCCAAAGATTCCAGGACAGGCTCCACAGTTGGCCAAGTGAGCCACCTCCCTGGGCCTTCCCCTCTGAGGTGGCAGAGAGGAACACGCAGGGGTCTCCAAGGCCTCCCCTCACTCCTGTGTTCTGGGTAAAACGGGAACAGTGTTGAGACGTGCTTGAAGACTTGAGGGTGGCTCTTTGTGCAGGTGAAGAAATTCAGTCCACCAAGTCTTACCTCTGCAAGCAAGGCGAGCTCAGCACTGAAGGGTGGAACAAAGATGAGGACAGCACACGTGTCCCCAGACCACAAGGCACCATCAGCAAACTGTGGCAGGTGCACAGGGGGAGATGGAGCGAGGTCAGAGGGGCGGAGGTGGCAGGAAGGCCAAGCGACCCCGTTGCTTGGCACTTGGTACTTGGCAATGTGCTTTGCGATCATTGCTATTAGATCCACGGGTTAAGCTTTTAACTTACAAAATTATGTTCACCCTAAACATGATTTCACATGAGAGCCATCAGACGGGCAGAGTGTGCGTGATTCGGGCTCACGGAGAGAGGAAAGCCGAAACCCGCACATGTTTATGTGAATCACTAAGGGTCAGGGCCGGCTGCATAGTTTCAGGAACTGGTGTAAAATGGAAATGCAGGCACCTTGCTAAAAATTATTAAGAATTTTCAAGCCCCAACTGATTTGGCTCAGTGGTTTGGGTGCCATCCCATGAAGCAAGAAGACTCTAGTTTAACTCCGGTCAGGGCACAAGCCTGGGTTGCTGGTTGAGTCTCAGTCGGGGCCGTACAAGAGGCACCCAACACCGGTTTCTCTCCACATTGACGTTTCTCTCCCTTTCTTTCTCCCTCCCTTCCCCTCTCTCTCTAAAACTAAATAATAAAACCTTGGGGCAGGGAGGGGAGGAGGGAGGGAAACAAATTTCCAAGGTGGTGACAGCAGAGCATTCAACCAAGCCCGGGGCCCTTCTAAGCACAGCTCCCAGCCCTGGCCAAAGCATCCGGCCCCTCCTGGTTCGGAGCCCAACCCCCTGCCGCTGAGCCAAAGTGGAGAGCTGTCATCCGGAGTTGACCCCGGGGTCATAAGGGATAAAGGACAGGTCTCAGCGGACCCTGTCCCACTGAAAGGGACGACTGCCCAACTGCCCGAGGTTACTTGCACAGGGCACACCCAGGTGCCGCTCCAACCAGGAGACAGCCAGTCATAGGCGTCTGCCTCTCCAAGCAAAGTGCCAGGTGGCAGGAGTGAGAGCAGGAAGCACCTGTAAACCCCTGAGGAAAGAAAAGGGGGGCGTCTTTGTCCGGGCCCCAGAATCTGGAGGTGGGGAGGAACCGGCTTACAGGTCAGCAAAGTCACCACCCACTGGAGGGTGTTAGAGGGTGAAAGGCTCCATTTGCTTAAAAATTTAAAAAAGCAAGAGTTATTTTAAAGGTGTGCTGGGGGCGGGGGCATCAGCTTTAAGCATTTTAAAGGCAATGCCATCCTACGGGGGGCGCCGCTGGGGCCCCGGCTGCTCCAAGCCTGAGTCCAAGTGGACCCCCGATGCTCTTCCCAGGAGGACACTGTCTCTGTGGAAGAGGAGACGCGAGAGCCCGGTTCAGAGCGGATCCTCCCAGGCTAGAGCGCTCCCGCGGCCAAGGCCCAGGCCCGGAGCTCACAGCGCCGCGCAGAGCCCTCTGCTGGCTTCAGACAAGAACACAACGACTCACCTTCCAGCACTCCCCCGAGAGTTCAAACACAAACGCGCTCCTCCCTTTGCCTCCCTCCTTGGAAGGCAAACTCCGCCGTACGAGGGAGTTCCTCTCGATCTTTTCCAGAAGCCTCACGCCGGTGTCTACGAAGCCATTCCTGCAGTACTCCTCCTGGGGGATGCCTTTCCTCCGGCACTCCGCCACGAAGTTCCACTCCTCCTTTATCCTAAAACGCCCGCAGAGGCCGCAGTCACCCTCCGCGGCCACGCCCGCACCTGCCCGGAGCAGCCCACCTGGGCGCGCGCGCAGGCGCAGTGCTCCCCGCCTCCCCAACCCCAATCCCCGTCTTGTTCCCTCCGCTGCTGTGGGGAATATAGAGGAAACGTAAAACCTCGAGAGCTGTGAATTACTAGCAACTTTGACTTTTAAAAGTTAGAGGAGTTCCAGAGTTAGCTGGAATTCCTGGCTAAAAATTTCTCCCGAAATTTCCTACGCATTTGATTCATTACAATTCCCTTGGACAGCAGGTGGTGCCAACCCAAAGGCTTTTAAACATGCAAGGCGGCAGGAATGGGCTGATCTTTCAAGAGCATTTGGATAGAAACATGTAGGCTGTCCCAGTTTATAAAATACCTGGCTTTAGAAAGTCACCCATCAGCCACCTTGGGAAATCTCAGGGCTGCAGGTGAACCTGTTATTCATAACCTGCAGGCCCAGCAGGACCCTGGAGCTGGCTCAGGACTTCAGCTCCCCGGCCCCCCGCCCCCGCCTCCACCACTCCTCAGTACCTTCCTGATCATTTTCTGACCTACAATGGTATCACTTCCCACATTTAGGCCTTATTTCCCACAACGTGATCAGAAACTTGGTGATGGTATGAGCCACATCTTGCTGCCCTCCGGACGCCACACAGTGGTTAGAACAGAGCTTTGCAGGGAGCCGGCTTGTCTCCACTTAGGGATTTGGTATCTGCCCGAGGCTCTAGCAGGCTAATAGGCCACGAGGTACAAAAACGGAATGTGTTGTTGTTTCCCTTCAAAGCCATCAGACACGGACATTGTCTCAAAATATGTAGTCCACTTGGATAGAACTTGGTGCCTTCTGCACTCAGGAAAGCATCCAGACTGTACTCAGGGACGTGGTGGCAGGCAGGATCGAGGACTTCTGGAAGGGAGCAATTTTAGAAACCGGCTGCAGTACAGCCGCAGTCTCCCCGTGGCCAGAGGCAGTACAGACGCTAAGTGGCAAGTGAATAAGAAGTTCCGCTACCTGTGATTACAGCGTTATGTAGCGGAAAGGGCTTGGGCAAGTTACTTAGGTCCCCCCTTCCTTGTCTTCAGATGTGGAGTAATGATAACCACCTGAAACAGCCCTGACGCTTATGTAGAGTACAGCTTAATTATCAGGCATGATCAGATTGGTTATTTGCTTGATGCACATAAAAGCAGAGGACCAGGAATAAAGAGACGGTCACACCGTACGCATTTTGTTTTTAACTTAAAGCATAGAAATACAGAGTCCAGCACAAATAACGCCCTTTTTTTATTACAAACTCTGAAGCATGTGATTCTGTAATATAATATCACACTCAAGCACACCATATGACATTTTAGGTGAAATGTTCAAATTAAAACTGTAAATTATTATACCCATATTATTACCCTACCAACCACAGTCAAACAGGCATTATTTCTGCGGGGTCCTGTATATCCCGCTTTGCCAACTTGCTATAGGGCCATTGACTTCCCTCCAGAACGGGTGTGCCCATCAGGATCCCATTCGGCCTTTCCTAGATTAACCACGCCCATAATGCCTCACCCAAGAGTCCCAGTTTGGGTTTCTTCACAGGGGATTAAAAATTACAGACACGCAAAGCCACCTGGATGTGCGGCCTTCCTAGCTTGTCATATTTCCATCTGTCTTGTACAGTGTTAACTCAATTGTGTGGTTCATATTTATCACAAATGTAGTTTTTCCAAAATGCTCAGTTTAGTTTTCATTGACATGGTAACTCTCTTTCACTTGTATTTCATACGAGTTTACATAACAGGAGTAAATCTACAAATTGCTTCATTACAGTCAAGTAAAAATGGCATCGACACAAGGAATCTTATCTAGCATGTGGCTCATAGGTGAAGGCTGAAGTGCGTGACAGGGAGCAGCCACCAGTCACATGGCTCGCCCGGGCGCAGAGTGTCAGATGGCCTCATGAGCCAGGATTTTAATGTGTCACCATGTCTTTCCCGGGCCGATAAGCAGGTGTCACCGACAGTGAGAAACCCCAAAAGAAAGACACCCCTCCAGCAGGCAACTGTGGCCTGCCCAGGCCCCATTAGCTAAAGCAGCTGCAAGCAAGTACAGAAAACATACTTTTCCAATGCACTTTTCTCGAGTCTTTCTTCCTCCTTCTTCTGCCAAGCTCTGTGCTTCTTGACACGCGTCTCCCACAAGGCTCTGACGACAGAGATGTCGAATACGACCACTTTATGTCCCATTTTGGGAGCATGAAATTACCTATTTAAAAATATACATATATGTCAGCTTCACCCACACACAGAAGAAAATAGTTTTACCATGAACTTTAAAGTGAAGCGTGAATGAATCAGTTGTCTTCAGTGAGGATGAAATACCTCATTCATTCAAGGGCGGCGGGCTGCTGATGTTCTTCAGGTCTGGCAGTACTCTGTGTAAGAGTCGAGGCGCGACACTCACCCCAGGGTCACCTCCGCTAGAACGCCGCACTTGTCTCAACTGAATTGTGGGCTCCCAAAGTCCCCTTGGCATTCCTGAAGCTTCGTGGCCCCCTATTCTATTGAATTTAGTAGCATCTGATCTTCCCAGTAGGTTCTAACATGCTAAATGGTAAGTTTGATGAGTTCATCAGAACGCACGCAAGCGCGCGCGCGCACACACACACACACCCCCTTGCTATCTCAGGCTACACTTTGGCCACCAGTAACACAAGCAAACCTTGCATAGAGACCCGCTGAGCACTCTCCCACCTGGGACTGACCAGACAGCCTGGGGACACGTTCCATGAGGTTCTCCTGCAACGTGAGCCCTCACAAGCTGCTGATCTTGGTTTATGCAGTTTTCCAAGTGCAAGGAAAGCCAGGCTCAAGCACATCTTAGCTATCACATCCTAGTGAGGCACAGCACAGTGCCTGGCACATAGTAGGCCCTCTGTAAATATTGGTTGAATGAGTATGTGAGTGAGTGAGTGAGTGAATGAATGAATGGTGAATAAAAGATCTGCCTCCAGCATGCTTCATTCTCAGGCCACTCTATGAGCTTTCTCTCTTCTATTTTCACAACTCATCTTTGCTCTTTGTTTTAAGTGATTAAGTGAATACCCTGCAAAAAAAATTCTTTTTTCAGGATATAAAAGTGCATTTCAATTTATTCCACTAAATTATAGTTATCTCCTTTACCTAAGTAAAATAACTTTCTAGAGATTGTTTTAAACTTCCCCTGCCTACAGCATCGAAATCTGGCTAAATCCATTTCCTGATTCGCACAAACACACAGGGTGTTGGTTGACAAATACGAGGGCTGTTGAATATTCTCTGCTCCAATTCCAGACACTTCCAAAGAGCAGTCAATGGGGATGCAAAACCAAATATTTAATCTTCTGACTCCAGTGTATCCTCTCCATTAATGGCTTGCCAATACCGTGGGAAAACTGGCTTATGTTTGTGCAGCTGAACATTTGCAGGCCATAATTTTCATGTAAAGAGCTGAAATGCTGACCCTAATATTCCCCTCTTTCTTTACTGTCTGATTTCCAGGACTGTCTTTTGTCTCTGGAAAACCCTTTTACCTGAAGGAGATTTCTAACACAGGAGCAAATGGTGCAAGTCTCTGTGTGGTCATAATGTTTTTAATCCTCTTGTGTAAATATTAGACAGAGGAGTGAAATTGGAGGATCATATGATAATTCTAAGTCTAACCTTTTCAGAAACTGCCAGACTGTTTTCCAAAGCAGCTGCATCAACTTACATTTCCACCAGCAGTGTGCGAAGTTCCTAATTCCTCCACATTTTTTCAACACGTTATATTATTATTATTATTGTAGCCATCCCTGTAGAGGTGAAGTGATAGCTCATTGTGGTTTTGATTTGCATTTCCCTGATGGCTAATGATGCCCAGCATCTTTTTGTGTGCTTTTCAGCTATTTGTATACCTTCTTGGGAAAAACGTCTATTCAGATCCTTTGTTATTTTTTTAATTGGGCCATTTGTTTTTTTCTTGTTGACTAGTAATAATTCTGTCTATATTCTAAATACAGGTCCTTTACCAGATATATGATTTGCAAAAGTTTTCTCCCATTTTGCAAATCAGTTGTCTTGTCACTTATTTGATTCTATCCTTTTACTTTTAATCTAAATATATAGTTATACATGATGTGAGATTTTTGTAGGCAGCATCTTGTTAGGTCTTTCATTTAACCCAATCTGACAAGGTTTTTCAATTGGTGTGTTTAGGCAATTTACATTTAAGATAATTACTGACAGGTTTGCAAATAAGTCTGCCATTTAGGTCTAAATTAATTAGTCATTTTCTGTTCGATCCTTATTCTGTTCTCCTCTTTTACTTTCCTCCCTTGTTTCTGTTATCTGAACACTTTTTAGTATTCCATTTTATTTTTTCTATTTTCTGTTTTCTCTTTTCCTGTTTTCTGCTGTAGTCTTTTCTTTTTCATGGTTGCCCTAGGGAATATAAGATACTGCTTAACTTCTCATAGTCTCCTTAGAAACAATACTTCACCACCTCAAGTGAGAAGTAGAAACCTTCCTGCTATACAGGTCCCCTTAGCCCCTACCTTCATGTGGTAGTTGGGCTATATATTCTGTCTGTTGGTGTTATATGATTGGCTTCCAAGCATCAAACTTATTTTAAACGACTCATGGGGAGAAAGCCAGCCCCATCATGCCTGACTGAATCGGACCTTATCCATTGCCCATCCTTCGTTCCCATTTTCCCAAGTTTCCCTCTGCTTTCATTTCTCTTCTGTCTAAAACAACTTCCCTTAACGACTCTCTTAGAAGTCTGCTGGAAAACTCTGTTTTCCTTCATCTGATGATACCGTTTTCTCACCTTCATTCCTAAAGAATATTTTTGCTGGACATCGAATCCTGAGTTGACAATTCTTTTCCTCCAGCACTTGAAAAATATCGTGCCCATTTCTTTTAGGCTCCATGGTTTCTGGACATAAATGAAGGAAAATCTGTTTTCATTTAAATCATAATTCTCCTATGGGTGGTGCATCATTTTTCTCTCAATACTTTCAAGACTTTTTTGTCTTCAGTTTTCCTTAGTTTAATTATGATGAATCTGGGCATGGATTTCTTTGGGTGTATCCTGCGTGGGATTTGCCTCGCTCCTCAAATCCAGTAGATTTATCTTTTGCCAAAATTGCTCTCCTCTCCTCTCACAGTCCTGGTGTTTTCTTCTCTGCAGATGCTCAGTGGCTGTGGACAGTGCAGCCAGATCTAGGAAGACTTGTTCTCGTGATTCTCCTACAAGCAGTCAAAGCCTGGTCTCCAGTAGAGAACTGGGCCTAGATGTCTTCTTGGAGCCATGGATCTTGGTGTCAAGCTCAAGGAGGGCACAAATGACAGCTGTGCATTCTTGTGGTGGTCGGGGGCGGGGGGGTCCATGGGGTGGTCAAGTTCCCCTTAAGAAGTGATAGCTTTGTTTGTGTTGAGGGTCTCCAGATCGGTTCCTGTAGGTTAACGTCTCTGTTCTGCTGCGTAGAGTATATCCCAGTGATATTTCTGTATCGCTGGAGAAAGTTCATGCTTTGAAAACTGCATTTATGTGTTTGCCTGAAAGATTGTGTGGACTGGAGATTAAGCTACAAAGAAGAGATTAGCTTTATAAATATGCCAGAGTCTCTCTCCCCTGAGCTGCTAAGTAACTGGCACCTGTGTCTGTCCCTGACATCTACTTCTTCTCCAGTCCCCAGTGTGGCTTTGTTTCTGGATCAGGGGTCTCCTACCTGTTGTGGAGTGACTCATGGGCTTTTGTTATAGAGCTACTTTTCCAATCTTATGGAGCTACTGTCTCCTGAGTTAGGGTGGAACCTGTTTAGTTGTCAGGGAGGCCTGGACTCAGTCACGTCCTATACGAGACACCAGGGGCTGGGCTGGATGTGGCATTGAGGAGCTGGTATTTCCTAGCTTCCCAGGATCTCTGGGCATTACACATAGGTTCCTAGAAGACACGGTCATTGGTCATCACTTACTGTTCTTACAGTCTCCAGTCTTCATTACACACATTTACAAACAGAACACCTTACAGGCAAGACCCTAATTTAAATCCTAGCACATTCAAAACCCTCTTAGTTGAAGAATAGGACCTCCTTCTCTGCTTTGCAAAACACAGGGAAAATGGTAAACATGGTTAGAAGACACACCAGAGATACTCTCCCCCGCCCCCAAATACTGAGACTGGTATTGATTTACAACTATCTAAAAATATAACCAAAAGATACCAAGGATAGACTATTCCTTTAAGATGGGAACTTGAATTACCTTTCTCCAAAGTAAAGCAATGATTTTTTTTTTTTAATGCAGTGGCACTTAATGTACTGATCTGGTTACTTCTCAAGGGTTTATTGACCTAAAAAAATGAAAGAAACTCAACAACAGAACCTGAGCCATGGCTGGCTGAGCAAGAGCACACACCGTCTGGACAGTGAAGAGTTCTTCCAGCTTTAATTACTCTTAGCCGGCTGGGCTGTCCATGCCGCCGAGACACAGGTCACCAAGCTGGCCTTTTTGGTTGGCTTTTATGTATAGACTTGGATTATGTGCAGATTGCCTCTAAGAAACTTGGCTGCCCAGTTCTTTCTTTTTAAAACTTTTTTCTCCATGGCTGGCTACGGACTTCAATCTCTTGTTTTCAGGCTAATGCTTGGTTGTCATTCCTTAACAGAGGCTTTTACGTCAAAGCCTTATTAAGACCTGTGCAGCTTAGGAGTTCCTGAGCCGAAGGCGGCGGAGTACGGGAAGCAGTAAGAGGAACATGAAATGCAGCGGGGTCTGTTTCCGGGTCAAAGGAGATGCACACTCTGCCCGGTCTCTCCCGCTCTGCACTGGTGCAGAGCCTGGACCGAATACACGGGACAGCAAGAGGAAAACTCCGGAAGGGAACGGTTGTGGGAGAGGGAGGGGAGGACTCCAGCATCCACAGCACCACAGAGCCTGCGGCAGCCCAGAAGCCAGGGCTGGGCCCAAAGGCACCTAGTTTTGCTCCAGGACTGGGAAAGGGGGTGACGAATGCTAACAGAAGGATAAATCCCTGTTGCTTTTTTCTTTTCTCCATCCTCTCCTGCCTCAGCCCCCTAGGATTCTGGTAGCAGTTTTGAGCGGGGGAGAAGGTGGGAGTGGAGGATCTCAGTTACCCAGAGCTTTGAGGAAGGAAGCCCTTCCTTTCGGACCAGGGGAGCTGTGTGTCCTCAGAGGGCGGAGAAAACCCTCTTTGTTTTCTTCCTCTCACAGCCATCCCGC